ATAGCAATATTAGTAAAGCACTTGCTAAAAAATTGGATTGCTATATTTCTAGGGATTTTGGTGGATCAGGATATCCCACAGTAAAAGAACTTGGAATTGATGCGATAAATTCTGGTAAAAAAAGTAATGGTAAGGGGGTGGATACGTAGTAAAAAAATTTCCATTTCCATTCCAGATATCTTCAAATTAGAACCACAAAAAACTCCTTTACCTAAATGTTTAGGCGAATCTTTTGAGCATTTTTTAGTTCTTGATAAGCCAAAATACGAATTAGTTTTAGGTAAAAGATGGTTAGATCGATTAATGGATAGAATCAGAGAACATATATACCCAGAACCAGAAAATTTTAAGTATTATCATATGTATCATTCCATGGAATATTATTATAAAATGTATAATCAATGGTATAAAAAAGAGAAACGTACTCTTTCTTTACAAAAATTTCATAAGCTATTATTTTCTGATTATACATTTGATTTTAAGGCTCCAACTAACTTGAGCGAATATTACGATTCAGAATATTCTGAAACAGAATCTGAATCTAGTGATTCTGGGATAGAGTCTGAATTTAGCGATTCTGAAGCAGAAAATGTACCTCTCCCAGTTATAAGTTGAATGATACGAGATAATAATATCAATTTTATTTCTGAATTCAATAATTATTTCAGAGAGACTGGCATGTTTATTCCTAATCATTATTAATATCAAATAGATCATAGGTTTCAGAAATATGACTTTAATGGTTATTCCTCTATATCTTCTTCGCTATCATAAAGATAGCTAAAATCAAAATCAGATGTCTCATTTATTTCAACATCAATATCTCTTAAAAAGTGAATATAGTCAAATATAAGATCCTCTAGATCTTTTGAAAAATTATTATATAGAATAAGAGGTTTATACATTCTTAATGAATTAACTGAATAGAAAATATCATCTATTTGGGAATATATAGTTCTAAGACAATCTTTTTTCAGTATTCCATTATATGATGGAACATTATTAAATCGTTCAACCCAAATATTAAAACAAAATTCATATAATCTTATAAGTGCTCTAAATCCTTCCGAACGCCAGGTATGATTGACTGCTAGAATAGAGAATAGATCCTCATCATTAGAAAAATAAAAAAGTATATTTTTCAAAATTTCAGGTATTAATAAAGCACGTGTTGCAAGAGAATTGTTAGAGATAGATACAAAGTGTCTAACATTAGTTTCTACGTTCATAATTTATTTATTTTGATTAAACTTGGATAGAAATATAAATAAATGTTCAGATAAGTGTAGTTAATTAGTAACTGTTAACAGGCAGATTACTTTTTTTCTTTTTTTCAAACTTAAACTGGGTATGAAATCTATAATGATAACTAATGCTCCGCTATGCTTCACATCAAAACCTTTCAGGTGAGCCTAGATGCTCCACTGCGTTCCGCATTATACCTTCCAGGTGGGGCTAAAACATAAATTTATCGTTATCAAAATTAA